GATAGGCAACGAGAGATTGTTGATACAAACTGTGAAGGGGTGCAGGCTGAAAGTCTTGATGCCCTACTCTCAGTAGCTACCCAATGTGTTTCTTCTAGCCCCGATGATCGACCCACCATGCACAGGGTGATCCAGTTACTTGAATCCGAGGTAATGACCCCATGCCCAAGTGACTTTTACGACTCTGATTGAAAGCCTTGCGGTGACAATCAAGACATGTTGAGTTCGCATCCAAGTGAATGCAGTTTCTAGCATGTTAGAGAAGTCATGCCGTTAGTGAAAGATGGCTAAGAGTCTGCAACATTTTAGCCTCTCCATTTCCATTCGTTCATTCTTTGTGCAGATTTATGCCATTGAGATTAGCGGTGCCGTCCACTTGATCCCTATCAGATCATTGATGGAATTGTGGGTTAATTTTATACTTTTCGGTGTCTTCATTTTGCATGGGTGCGTGCAGACAGTTCTTTCTCCACGTAATTGGAAGTCCCACTTGTGGTATGAGTCATTTCTTTGTCATATTTTATTTTATTTTTTTCCAACCAAAAAAAAAAATTGTAGTTACTCTTGCAATTGGTCTCTCTAATTAAGTGTATATGGCATTTGTATAAAATCAGAAATTTGGCCCCTGCAGAAGATAACTCTGATTCATGCCATTTTTGTATAATATGTTTTATTTAAATAATCAGTTCCTTAGATCAGCCAGTTGTGCTTATTGTTTGTGTCACCTATATTATTTTGCTGATATTTTTAAACTGACCTACCTGCAAAGCATAACAATGAAAAATAATCTTTGTCACCAATCAGCTAAAATGATTAAATTAATAGTTTATATTGATGATTCAGGTACCACATTCATTTGAATTAGTACCACTGAGATCAAACTATAAAATTGTAGTACATTTTTCCCATCAGCTTTGGCAATGGTCGCCGATTGAATCATATGCATGTACTACTATACGATGACGTATAATGTCTACAGATATCCGAAATTCAGTAAAAAGCCATTGGTTTAACATTGCTACATTCGAATTTAGCAGGACCTTCTTTTCCCATGTACTTGAGATCAATATCATCCATCTTTACATTTTTGCTTGATACACCATTACTACAAGCAAACTTTACTGTAATTGGAGTTGCATATGTGCATCGATTGTTCTTGAAGCTGAAGAAAAGAAAATACACTCAAGAAACGGTAATCCTTTGGGTATACAGGAAGAGGAAGCACAAATATTCGTATATTTACTGAAGAGTAAAACCTTTGTATTGCACTTATTCCATGGGCAATAGACTTGATCTATGATGATAGAATTGCTGATATTTATTAACCATAATAATGTCCTCAAAACGAATCTGTGATGCGGAACCTTCAAAGGAAGTGGGCCAAGTTTTGATTCTCACACCACTGTCACTGTTAGTGAGAGTGCAATGCTTGACTAATTATAGGTTCTTCTTTCTAGGTACTTTCCTAAACTTTCCATACTGATGCCATGACCAGGTTGTGTTTAACACCACTGTCACTGTTAGTGAGAGTGCAATTCTTGATTAGACTCTGCACTGAACCTTTTAATCACCTTACACCAAATCAAAATTAATCTCAATTTTTTCATATAAAAATCTTTAATAACTGCTCAAACTGATACTAATTTAACCATTAATATCTTTTATACATCCCAAATATTAATCATATTACAACAACTACTAGCAACTATATAACACTGGTTGCACCAACAAATCAATAATATTGAACTCGAAATCAACGGAGTTTAGACAAGGAATCCCGCTCCTGCTAGCCTTTGCTTCGTCATGACGTTGTAACTTGTACCAACTGTGCATGTTAATTCCAAATACAATATTCAGAACTTTCCATCAAAGATACCACAAGAGAATTCATTTGTGAACAAACTGAATCATATAATGTAATATTTTCTTCTGTTCTCCGAGTCGGGCAGGGTACACCAGGAAGACAATTTAGAAACCTATATCCTTGAATCAATGTTAAATCGACATCTTAATCAGTAATGTTATGAAAACTCGTTGCATATCAACATAAGGATATACCCACTTATGTTTAATACCTTTGTCATAGCACACTTGAAGTTGCTCCATTGATCTTATTGACTTGGCGTATAAGGCAATGCAACTAGAGGGTTTCATATTATTTCACATCACTTTTGAGTGCAGCTTTTGTTAGAAAGTTATCAATTAATGATGACAAGTATTGCTGTATCCTGTTCATCAAAGCAGGACTAGGTTTTTGCATACCATTGATCAGCCACTCGTAATCTGACAAAGTATCATCAGATAATGGCTCCAAAAACTCACATCTAGCCAGAATTTCAGGTGGGGGCACTCCAGCGATTAAGTTTGTATCCAACTTTGGCTTACCTTTAAGAAGATCTCGTGGCATTTCAACTGGAGTACTTTCCAGGGCAGAGGGAGATGCACCTGGGATAACCTCTTGTTTGAAAGGCAGAGCTCTTGCCGCTTGCAAGCAGAACTCTATCCATTGATGGATTAATGGTGATGGACCTCTGACCCGCCCCCCAATTTGATCTGTTTCAAGTCTAGAGGCTGCAGGGATTGCCTACAAAGAAAATAGAACCTTAGTATTCGCATTTTCAAATTAAGTGATCACTTGTGACTATGACAACAAAGTGAATGTTAAAGTACAATAACAGTTTATAGATATACCCAAAGATCAGCCCATAAGCTAGCACCAGATTTCGGAACAATCACTGCGACATTGGACATACGTTTAGCTGCAGGTAGAATGTCACTACTCCACCCAACAGCAACCCATACATCTCCAACTCCAAACGCTTTTAGATAGTGCATGCTATCAAATAGTCGTACCTATATCACAGGAAAAGTCTTTTTACGACAGATCATGCCAGAAAGATAACAAATAAAACTACCAGTGCAAGTGTACTTGACTGTCAGTTTTCTATCCCTCTCTCTAGTTGTGTGCAATATTTTCAGATAGAGAATTTTAGTGGAACTCACCGAATGATGCCCAATACCTTTGGTGCAGGCTAAAATAGCGGACAAAATTAAAAAATTGCACAAATAAGAAGAAATGATCTAATTCAACCTGGAGTACAGAGGTTAGATTACAATTTGGAAGTATCCCTTTCATTCTAAGAGTGGGTAGATTTTTGCCTGCCAACCATGTCAAATGTTAGAAGCACTTAATTTTCTCCTTTCTATAAGAAATTCATTTCCTATCTCCCAAATATCCACCATTAAAGTCCTCTTTTACCCATAGTTTGTATCAGGGTCACTTGCATATTAACTATCAGGTAAGCATAACATGCAATGACTCAAGATATCATTTCCGTGTACCTGTTTTCCAAGTAATGACAGATTCTGCTGAACAGCAGTCCGGCCACCAGCAAGTTGCAAGTTCATGTTGCTTGTGTTGTATGATGCCCCCATATACTTCAAAACTGCACCAATAACCTCTCGGGGAGAATTAACCATTGAAATCCTGCCCGCAAGCTCAGGCCGCCACAGATCTGTCCAGTCCTGCAGTAGCAAGTCATTAACCACGTATAACTTAGAGAAGCATTGTAAAGACTAACTCCTCCAACTCTCCCAGGTCAAATGTGAGAGTGCACATAAAACAGAAGGATGGAAACAGGAAAGTGAAATGGGAGATTCACATCACATCACCATCACGGTACACCAAATATAAATTTGCTATTGTTGTAGATCGATAAAAGCAAGGAGACGTCTTGGTTTTGTTAAAAGAAAATTTACCTCTATTGGAGCCAATTTATGCTTTTGAAATTTACTTTTCTTGTAAGCAATCACCATGCTGCCCCATCGATACGGTGCAGCCCATATTTTACCTTCAGGATCTATTTCTCCTGCATAGTTCCTGCGCAGATATACCTGAGAATTCGTTAGTGGAAATAAAACAAAACTTCAGAGGTAACCCATTACGGACAAGAAAACAAAATTTACAATCATATTTTAGTAAGATTGAAACACATCAGGACTCTTGAGTGGATAATATTATACTATAACATTAAATTCAGACCAAAAAAAAAAAAAAAAAAGAGATTCATCTAACAATAAAACAAACAGATTACAAAGCAGCCAAAGCTGAATGCAATCAAACTTTTCTTCAACCTTGTCTGTGCCAAAATAATTAATATTGAATCTCTTTTAACTGAATGAAATTCTTACAATTACAAGTTTTTTATTTGCAAAAGCAGAACACGGTCAGCTAGAAAACTAAAAAGCATCAGTTAAAGATGTTACCTTCCATTTATCACTTAAGCTTCTAAACCAATCCTGCTCTTCTACTCCTGGTATTGGCTCAATTAATACTTTTTTTATCGCAAAACTAAGCCAAGAATCACCAATACCAACAATATCAGCAGCCATAAAAGACTTGGACTTAACTTTAACTTTACTAAACGGCATAGATAGATTATTAAAAATATCCTCAAGGCTACCGCAAAAGTTAGCCTGCAACTTCAATCTCTTTCCTTGAGCTTTCATGAAATCCTTAACCCACGATTGAGGCAATGAACCCTGTAAAGAAACTATTCTCAAAGGAACAGTCAAAGCATAAGTTTTAGACTTCCAATTCTCAAATGCCGCTTTTATCTCTTCATCCTCTATATCTTCTACATCCTTATTCTCATCTGTAACAACACCCAAAACAAACGTAAAAATTCAAATTTTAAAACTAATCAAGAAATGCACTTTGTGCTTCAGCGTCTACTAAATTTGAGGCAACTCGAGGCTTTACCTTGAATCATTTGGTCTTGGTGGTGGACGACGGGAGAGAGCGGCGAAGAAGCGGCTGAGCAGTCACGGACGCTGGAGCCGAGAAAGAATACGAGAGAGGCGGCGAGGCCGAGGAGCGTGGGAGGGATATGCGTTTGCGGAGGGCGTTCATGATGAGGCGTGGGAATAATTTGGTTCAAGGAGAATGTGATGGCGGGAATTGATAATGGTTTGGTGGAAGAAAAATCTTTAATAACTGCTCAAACTGATACTAATTTAACCATTAATATCTTTTATACATCCCAAATATTAATCATATTACAACAACTACTAGCAACTATATAACACTGGTTGCACCAACAAATCAATAATATTGAACTCGAAATCAACGGAGTTTAGACAAGGAATCCCGCTCCTGCTAGCCTTTGCTTCGTCATGACGTTGTAACTTGTACCAACTGTGCATGTTAATTCCAAATACAATATTCAGAACTTTCCATCAAAGATACCACAAGAGAATTCATTTGTGAACAAACTGAATCATATAATGTAATATTTTCTTCTGTTCTCCGAGTCGGGCAGGGTACACCAGGAAGACAATTTAGAAACCTATATCCTTGAATCAATGTTAAATCGACATCTTAATCAGTAATGTTATGAAAACTCGTTGCATATCAACATAAGGATATACCCACTTATGTTTAATACCTTTGTCATAGCACACTTGAAGTTGCTCCATTGATCTTATTGACTTGGCGTATAAGGCAATGCAACTAGAGGGTTTCATATTATTTCACATCACTTTTGAGTGCAGCTTTTGTTAGAAAGTTATCAATTAATGATGACAAGTATTGCTGTATCCTGTTCATCAAAGCAGGACTAGGTTTTTGCATACCATTGATCAGCCACTCGTAATCTGACAAAGTATCATCAGATAATGGCTCCAAAAACTCACATCTAGCCAGAATTTCAGGTGGGGGCACTCCAGCGATTAAGTTTGTATCCAACTTTGGCTTACCTTTAAGAAGATCTCGTGGCATTTCAACTGGAGTACTTTCCAGGGCAGAGGGAGATGCACCTGGGATAACCTCTTGTTTGAAAGGCAGAGCTCTTGCCGCTTGCAAGCAGAACTCTATCCATTGATGGATTAATGGTGATGGACCTCTGACCCGCCCCCCAATTTGATCTGTTTCAAGTCTAGAGGCTGCAGGGATTGCCTACAAAGAAAATAGAACCTTAGTATTCGCATTTTCAAATTAAGTGATCACTTATGACTATGACAACAAAGTGAATGTTAAAGTACAATAACAGTTTATAGATATACCCAAAGATCAGCCCATAAGCTAGCACCAGATTTCGGAACAATCACAGTGACATTGGACATACGTTTAGCTGCAGGTAGAATGTCACTACTCCACCCAACAGCAACCCATACATCTCCAACTCCAAACGCTTTTAGATAGTGCATGCTATCAAATAGTCGTACCTATATCACAGGAAAAGTCTTTTTACCCCAGATCATGCCAGAAAGATAACAAATAAAACTACCAGTGCGAGTGTACTTGACTGTCAGTTTTCTATCCCTCTCTCTAGTTGTGTGCAATATTTTCAGATAGAGAATTTTAGTGGAACTAACCAAATGATGCCCAATACCTTTGGTGCAGGCTAAAATAGCAGACAAAATTAAAAAATTGCACAAATAAGAAGAAATGATCTAATTCAACCTGGAGTACAGAGGATAGATTACAATTTGGAAGTATCCCTTTCATTCTAAGAGTGGGTAGATTTTTGCCTGCCAACCATGTCAAATGTTAGAAGCACTTAATTTTCTCCTTTCTATAAGAAATTCATTTCCTATCTCCCAAATATCCACCATTAAAGTCCTCTTTTACCCATAGTTTGTATCAGGGTCACTTGCATATTAACTATCAGGTAAGCATAACATGCAATGACTCAAGATATCATTTCCGTGTACCTGTTTTCCAAGTAATGACAGATTCTGCTGAACAGCAGTCCGGCCACCAGCAAGTTGCAAGTTCATGTTGCTTGTGTTGTATGATGCCCCCATATACTTCAAAACTGCACCAATAACCTCTCGGGGAGAATTAACCATTGAAATCCTGCCCGCAAGCTCAGGCCGCCACAGATCTGTCCAGTCCTGCAGTAGCAAGTCATTAACCACGTATAACTTAGAGAAGCATTGTAAAGACTAACTCCTCCAACTCTCCCAGGTCAAATGTGAAAGTGCACATAAAACAGAAGGATGGAAACAGGAAAGTGAAATGGGAGATTCACATCACATCACCATCACGGTACACCAAATATAAATTTGCTATTGTTATAGATTGATAAAAGCAAGGAGACGTCTTGGTTTTGTTAAAAGAAAATTTACCTCTATTGGAGCCAATTTATGCTTTTGAAATTTACTTTTCTTGTAAGCAATCACCATACTGCCCCATCGATACGGTGCAGCCCATATTTTACCTTCAGGATCTATTTCTCCTGCATAGTTCCTGCGCAGATATACCTGAGAATTCGTTAGTGGAAATAAAACAAAACTTCAGAGGTAACCCATTACGGACAAGAAAACAAAATTTACAATCATATTTTAGTAAGATTGAAACACATCAGGACTCTTGAGTGGATAATATTATACTATAACATTAAATTCAGACCAAAAAAAAAAAAAAAAAAGAGATTCATCTAACAATAAAACAAACAGATTACAAAGCAGCCAAAGCTGAATGCAATCAAACTTTTCTTCAACCTTGTCTGTGCCAAAATAATCAATATTGAATCTCTTTTAACTGAATGAAATTCTTACAATTACAAGTTTTTTATTTGCAAAAGCAGAACACAGTCAGCTAGAAAACTAAAAAGCATCAGTTAAAGATGTTACCTTCCATTTATCACTTAAGCTTCTAAACCAATCCTGCTCCTCTACTCCTGGTATTGGCTCAATTAATACTTTTTTTATCGCAAAACTAAGCCAAGAATCACCAATACCAACAATATCAGCAGCCATAAAAGACTTGGACTTAACTTTAACTTTACTAAACGGCATAGATAGATTATTAAAAATATCCTCAAGGCTACCGCAAAAGTTAGCCTGCAACTTCAATCTCTTTCCTTGAGCTTTCATGAAATCCTTAACCCACGATTGAGGCAATGAACCCTGTAAAGAAACTATTCTCAAAGGAACAGTCAAAGCATAAGTTTTAGACTTCCAATTCTCAAATGCCGCTTTTATCTCTTCATCCTCTATATCTTCTACATCCTTATTCTCATCTGTAACAACACCCAAAACAAACGTAAAAATTCAAATTTTAAAACTAATCAAGAAATGCACTTTGTGCTTCAGCGTCTACTAAATTTGAGGCAACTCGAGGCTTTACCTTGAATCATTTGGTCTTGGTGGTGGACGACGGGAGAGAGCGGCGAAGAAGCGGCTGAGCAGGCACGGACACTGGAGCCGAGAAAGAATACGAGAGAGGTGGCGAGGCCGAGGAGCGTGGGAGGGATATGCGTTTGCGGAGGGCGTTCATGATGAGGCGTGGGAATAATTTGGTTCAAGGAGAATGTGATGGCGGGAATTGATAATGGTTTGGTGGATAGACGAAGGAGAAGAGAGCTAGGGCTCGGGCTCGGGCTCGGGATTGGGGAAAGGGAATGTGGAAGGTTTGATTTTGGTTTTGGTGGTGGTGGCAGTGATGATGATAAGAATGAAGTTGCCAACGCCATTACGATTCAGAGAAAGAGAGTGAGAGTGAAATACCAGTGAAACGAATTTTAATGGGTTTTAAGTTAAAAAGCCACTTGCCAGGGAGCTTAAAGAGAAATGCCAAGTTAAATTTTAATACAAAATATTATTTATTTGTATTGACTATACTTTTGTTCAATTATATATTAAAGAAAATAATACAGTCAGTACACCAAATTTATGCATCAAATGACGTGATAAAATCCTGATCATTGATTAATTTTAACTTAATATTAATCAACGGTCAAGATTTTGTACATTTATAACAAATCTAACTTCATAATTATATATTTCAGAGCTTATCAACTTAGTTTTAAATTGTGAATATTCCAATTTTACCAGAATTTGATTTGGTTTGCCTAATAACTCACACCCTAAAGTAGTTTCCCATTTTATATTAATAAATAAACCTCATCCTTAAACATAGCATGTTAATTCGTCTTCATGGGTGGTAAAATTATTATACACTAATTACGATAATAAGGAATAACTTCATTCGCATTGCAAGGACATACAAGATTACACGGATGAGAATTCTGCAATAACTTTTGGGATGTATAAGCATTATTGAATTTGAAAACAATGAGTATACACACAATAAAACCACTTATCTCATAGAAAATTGGCACTTACAGTTGCAGATACATTATGCATATTATCACACAGATAAGATGAAAGAAAAATGATACAGAAGTAGGCAATTGCTCTAGCTGCGTATTCCTACAATAGCAAATATATGACAAGAAAGCGGGCATATACAATTTCGTAACACTAGATTTAGGGAGAGAACTGCAATCAAGGCGACAACTCTGCTTCCGAGACCACGCCTGCAGGTGCTTGCTCCTGCCTTTCAACATAAGCAGAGGGAAACCATCCAGCCTTGCCCTTACATTCACCTTCCGACCATCCGGTAGGAGCCACCTTGCGATGTTAAAAAAAGAAATAACATTTTAAAGAAATTAGCCAATGGAGCATTAAGATGAAATATCCAATCACTACCAAGCAATTGAAGTCGGTCTTTCTCGGAGTAAGTTAAGAGTCATTAATGTATAATACAAAATATTGGCACAAAATGAACACCGAACTCAATCACTATCTAACCAACAGAAATAAACACATAAAATGAGTTTAATAGACTTCAAATACGCAAAAGATTAAGGTCATGAGTAATGAAAAAATCTTCCTAAACTTATCATTGATATTTTCATGTGCTTCTTAATATTCTTCTCAGGAGGCAAAGAAAGTAGGAATGTCCAGAAGTTGGTTTGATTGTGGTATCCAAAAATTATGGCCCCAAATCCAGCTGATAGGTTCACACAGCAGTAATAACCAAAAAGATACCAAGCAAAGAATTCCAATTCTCTGAAACAACAGAATTAACAAAAAAAATGGTTTGAATTTGGCGATTTAACTGGGTTTTAAATTTGATCTCAGGCTTTCAATATTTTAGCAAGAGAAAACAAGAACGCACCAGATAATATTAGCTCATACTTTGTGGTTTCAGAAAAGAAACTATCTGGTAGATAGTTTGAAGGAAAAGAAAATTTAAGAAGTAAGAACTAGGGAAATTATGATCAAAATTTGATATGGGACTTGGTTGTAACTTCTCATACTCTTCGATTAGTTGCTATTCAGTCTTATTTTCATGCTTTGCATTAGAAATCTGATACTTTGGTTGTACTTTGGACAAGGCCAAAAACAGAAGTATCAACAAGTATAGGAATTAATTCTATATCCAAGACCTAAATGGTTGCTAATGAATAAGTTAATTGCAAGGAAAATAATCTATATGCATCTATTTGAATTAGACTTAGAGAAACTACCTGGCGAACCACAACATAATCATCAACTGATAGACTCAGCTCCCCATCTGCTTGAGCATCGAATGGATGTACAACCTTCAAGAGAACAGCTTAAATAAAGATAGTGCAGATGAAAAACTGACAACAGTAGTAGCAACATCAGCAATAATAAAAAGTACTATAAAGTATAAACAAAAATTACAAAGCAACCAAGAAAAGAATATATAAGCAATGAAAAAACAATTGATGACAATTTGGTCATGAAGTCTATTAGTATCACATAACCATCTAAAGCAATTTCTATCTTCAATATTCAAGACCAAGCACTATTATTATAGTTAATGCAATAGTACAATCACTTGGACCAACAGTAATCAAACTTGGTCAAAAGCCAATTTACATCTCCAAAGTAGAAAAAAGAACACAATTTTAAGTAAAAAAATTATGTGACATGAATTACTTGATGTGTTCCATTATCAACAAAATCCAACATTTCTCATCATGAAACCCAAAAATATATAGTAAAAGATGTTCAAATAGAGTACTGTCTTACTTTTGCAATGAAGTAGTCATTATTCTGATTAACATGCATCTGTCTTTCAGATCTATCCGAATCAATATTCTGATGTGCAAGTTGTGAATTTACATCCATTTGCATGGTAACAGATTGAGATGAAGACTCATCTGATTGCTCCTCTAGAATCATCTAATTCCAACAGTAAGCAGAACCACATCAAGTGATAACCTTTCCAGTATAAACATGAAAACAATGGTAGAGGCTCTCATTAGCACCAGGAATATATATATACAAACCTCAGCATATAGCTTCTCTAAACTAGCAATGACACGTTGATGATAACTTCTCTCAGCATCGACCTATAAAAGCCCAAGGATGATAAAACAATTAAAACCAGAAGAGATAATAAATGAAGAGAAGTACATAGCCCAAAATTTTGACAAAAGCACACTCATAGACATAACAAACCTCAATCATGAATAAATACTAAAATTGCTAACCCCAAGGCTTAGGTTGAATGGTATAATCCTTAGTTTTCAACCATGAGGTTAGAAAATTCAAATCCCCTTGGGATTTGTTAGAGCTTGACCAATATTTTCGGGCCCTCATCAATTTAGCATAAGCTTTCAGGTAAGTTCCTTTTTTTTTTTTTTTTTAATAGTATCAAAGTCAAGTTGACAAAGTATTATTTCCACAAATCAAGTTATTAAATTACGATTAGTTGTTTTGTTTGCTGTTAAATGTGATTGTCATTGTGTTTGATTCCCTAGTTACAGGCTTACAGCTCAGATATTACGGTCGGGGTATTATCCATCAGGTTAAACTTTTAGTTTAAACAGTACTTTAGCCAGGTTATCTAGTTAAGATATCATATCCCACAAGACCAATAGGGCTTTAGGGTCTCCAAATAGTCCCTCATTTCAAAACCAATGTGCAAACACATGATTGGATTATTAGAAAAGAAAAAAAGTTCAGTGTTGTAGAGGCTACCATTTGTTATCATAACCTTTCACACTTTTGTGTTAGCTTCAAATAACTGTAAAAGGCGACCGCTACTTTCAGCGAGTATGCAGGTCTAAATTGTTCATGGGCACAAGCATATTACATTCCAAGGATGAAACTTAATGCATCTGATCTATTCACTTGATTAATTTAACATCTTGCCTAATTATTTTACTGTAATAATGAGGTTAACAAAATATAAATCATAATCTCCAACTGAAAGCAACTTCAGGTAAATGTGCAACATAAAATAAGCAAGTGCTTAAAATGCTAAACAACACCTAAACAAACTGTATATATTCAGATAAATCTTTATCCAATTAACATATAAACTAACTGACAGGGGAGAAGAAAAAGAGTGAAGAGAAGATCAGAGAGAAATAGATAGATAATTACAGAAATAAGCAAGAGAAAAGGGATAAAATAAGAAATTTGAAAGAGAAGCTCAATTTTCATTAGATGAGATCACATCAACTCTTTTGCTGTTGATTGAGTTTAAATCATTTAATTGTTCTGCATACTCAGTAAAAAATAATTGCATTCATATTTGAAGTTAGTGATAACATCAAGCTATGATAAGCAGAAAATCAGCATATGCACAAGCAGTTATCAACAGCAAAAGTGATTAGGATCAGTACCATAGCAAAAAGTCGATGAAATGTTATCTGTTGCTGCTGATTTTCAACTGACAACATGGCATCAGTTGCTTCTCTGCCAAGTGCCTTCACAGAAGATTTAAGTTCTGTTAATCTTGCTTCTGCATTTCGAAGCTTCATAGCACTCTCTGCAGATATTTCAGATTCCCTGATCTTTGATCGACGCCTCATTACTTCTGCTGCCTAATGAGAACAAACATTATGAATCAAATATAATTCCCTAAATACACCCTGATAGGAACTCAAAGATTACCTGGGATTCAACCTCATGCCGAAGTCTCTCATAACGATGAGTCAAGTGGCGAGCATCCTCCAAAGGTGCTCCATTTATTAATGTCTTAAGAGGTTCAGATACCTACACACCAAAAATCTGTAACATAATTATAAACACAAAAAGATATGCTGAAACCTTAATATCTCTAAAGGAAAGATCATAATACCAAAGTTGTCCATCATTTTATCTCATCAATATACTGGCTAGCAAATAGGTATATCACATCAACTTTCCTGATCAATTAGAAAAAGAAAAATACACATGGGTTCTACTTGTTCTGTTCATTGTTTCTTCCCTGTACTTCTAGTGATTTACCTTTAATTTTGAGTAAAATACTCCCCATGAATAAGCCAGGATCTGAAGACTTATCTTAGGAATTAAATGAATTTACATATTTAGAAATTAAAATCTGAAGTTTCAGAGTCTTTTTATGCACAATATTCTAAAATATGCCTGCAAGCACAGCACATGTGGGTGTGAATGCTCTCACCACAAACAAAAACATCCATATGATGTATATAGCCTTAATCTTGGTAAAAATCACAATCACTATGCCCATAAAACTACATTTGCTTATTGTGCACTTACAGTTTAATAATGAATCCAGTCTAATTTTATTGCTTTCAGCAACAAAAAGGGGCTTTAAAAAGAAAAAAAAGAGAAAAAGCAAAAAAAAAAAAAAGATGGGAAGAAACCATTAATTCTTTTCAAAATCTTCATAAGAATCACATAGATTGATAAATTTACATACAAACATATATAAATAAAAGAAAATGCTTCATGATTGCATAATCAACTTTACCTGATCACCAAGAATTCCAAGCAAAGCTTCCCTCTCATTTTCCATCAAATCATGACAGAACCAAAGTGAAGCAGCTCTTGCAAGTGGAGAATCATTGCTTTGATTCTCAGCTCCATATTTGCAACAATCTTCAGCCAACCTTCGCACTATAATATAAAAAAATCAAAATCAAATTTCATGTACTATACCTGCATATAAAGCTAGTCAAATAAAAAAAAAAGAAAAGATAAAAGGCCAGTTCACCCCACCTATCTCCATTTGCTTCAAGCTTACAGCAATAAAACCTTCAACACCACGAACAATATTCCTCTGAAAACGCTGCACAACATAACATATTTTTCTTTTATCAACAACTGCGCTCAAATTAAAGCCTCTTCAAAGTATGAGTTAATTAATACCTTAGCTGCCTTGGTAGAACTGTACAAATTTTGAAGTTGTTTATGACATCAATTTCAGCTTCATCAACCACACACCTTCATTGCAAGATGTCCCAAATGCTTCAGCACCGCCTGCAAAATCAAAATAACAAAAATTCAAACAAAAATTTCACCAATAATTCAATAGACACGAAAGCACGTACCATCATAAATTGAAAAAAAAAACTAAAAAAAAAAAAAAAAGAAAGACAGTGAAACTGACTTGTTGCTGTTTGGCAACTTGCTCTCTGAGCTTGATTGCTTGTTTCCTTATCGCCTCCATAAAAACACGATCACCAAACTGACTTCATGAAGTAAAAGAAAGTGACGGATCAGTTAATTGAAAACGTTGCAACCGAAAAATGAAAGAAGCAGAGAACGCGTGGAGAATAATTATCAAAAAGGGAGGTTCGTGTTACTGTAGTGAAGAGGGGGTGAAACCGTCGGTTAATGGAGAATTTTTTTACCAAGTGTTTTGACTGTTGGTTGACCCAAGAGCTTAAAGATACTTTTTGTACAACTGTTATTTTCTGTTTAATTTAAAATTTAAATTATTGATTAAATTTAACGAATAAATAAGTTAATAAATGAAAAAAAAAAAAAGTTAATGAAAATAGTTTGGAAGTACATATTAATAGAAAAATGCATTTTCGACTCATTAATAGATTTTAAATGGTGATAAAAGGATTGAACAATTTAAGTAAAGTTGGGTGCATAGTAAACTAGAAATAAGAAAAATGGAATAGCTCATAAACAAATATTTGATTTGGGTTAGTTGTATGTGAATTCGAGTAGAAATAGAAATATCTCATGTATACATTTGTGGATTTGTGGTGTTCAAAGAAGCTTCATAATGCCAAAGAAGAAGAAGGTGACAACTAAGAAGAACAAACGGAAACCCCACTGTGGAAACATTGAACTCGATGTGCACGGAGTTAAGATTTAGGTGACAATGTTGGGATTTTAGTTACTTCAGTAAATAAAATAAATCATATAGTAAAAGGCCTCTTAGTGGCTCTGCAACCATCAATTCACCTTAAGTAGTTAAAAAATTTAAAAAATAGTTTTGTTATTTTAATCTTCAGACAATAGCTCTAGTATCTTCTAGGCTTATATTTGAAATGTGTTTGAACATGTGGGAAATTGCGATTCTCCTTCACTCATTTTCATTTACAAGAAATGAAAAAATCGCTTAGCTGGATCACTCTTCTTTACAGTTGTTACTTTTAATTTTTAAAATAAAAATTGAACTTTCCCATTTTCATTTATATATGCTAGCTTGTATTTTAAACCATATTTTATAATATATCAATTTGGCATATATATATATATATATATATATATATATATATATATATATATATATAACCTACTGCTTTGAGCAGTCAGTTGCCATGAAAGACACCGTCTTCTTTTCGAAGTCAAATTCCAGCAGGAAATTCATTTGAGCCAAATTTCCAAGAATGGCAACTGAATCTGAAGGTACCATACTAAAGCACACCAAATCTTCCTCCACTCTCATGAATGCATTTAATGGATGCAATTTCACATCCGCACCGCCACTAAAATGAACTGTGATAACGGGAAGATCAACATCACTCTCGCTTTTAACTCGAAAACAAGCTCCAAGAACACCCCTCGGATCACTAACACGCTTAGACCCAATTTCTTCCTCCAGAACCGTCGCCACTTTGTCGTAAACCTGACTCCTGAGAAACGTTAAAGTCGTCCCTGAATCGATTATCATGTTACCCTCTTCGCCTTCTGCAAAATTATGATCACCGTTTGAAGAATTCGTGTATGGCAGCTTATTTTTTCCGACGCTAATGGCTTCTAATGTAACGTAATAATAAGTTGCCGGTTCTTTATCAACCAACGGAGTCGAACCAAAACTTGAAACATTCATAGAACTTTCAGCACCAAAATTTATCTTGCTCGTCGCATAATTTGTTGTTTCCGAAGACGAAGTTTGCACCAAACAATAAGAGAATTTTCCTTTGATTGATGATCCCAATTGAGAGATTAGAGAAAGAGAGCCCCCGCCGAGGCCAATAATGCCGGATCCCGCTTCATCAAACGTGCCACCATTATCATGTCCGCAACCAAAAACTATTTTCGGAAGAGTAACTGAACTTCCTGAAGTTGAATCGCCAATGGAGAAATTTTCTACCGCGAGATTTCCCTCAGTGAAGGAGTAATCTCCGTAAGAGTAACTGTATTCACATAAGTTTCTGTGCGATTCGCAACGTTTGGCGAGGTCAAGTGCGGAACAGTAACGAGATTCACAAGTTAAAATCTTGTAGGTTGAAGATCTTTTGGGATCAAACAAGGGAGGTTTTTGCTTGTAGCATTCTTCACATGGCTTGCATTGAATCCACGTGAGGTCGCTGCCGGTGTCGGCGATTCCGATTAACTCGACAGGCGGGGTGCCGATGGAGATGTTCATGAAATACTCTCCACCAATGGACACCAGCGGGGACTGGAGAACTTTTATAGAGTGTGATGACGGTGATAAGGTTGCTTTGAGATGGTTCATACGTGAAATTGAACGAAGAAAAGCGTTATGCAATCTATCAAAATGGGATTCGGAAGGATTATAAAAGGGAGAGAGAGGGAAGTCACGTTGTATGAGATCAACTGTGAAACGTCCACCATTGTTATTAGCTTCTGCAAACGTAAAGACTACGATAAGAGAAAACCGAATTAGTGAGCTTAATCTGAAAGTGGCTGCCATTGTTTTTGTGAGAGTAGAAGAAAGGTGGTGACTGGTGAGATCATTTGAATATTTGTGCAGCATATTTATAGGGTCGGGCTGCCTGAGAAATATGTAAAGGCAGAGAATATTAAAAACTGCACGTTACTCAAAAGAGGATATGAATTATGATAAGAACTGGGAAGGTCAATGATCACAGGCTAGAAATTAATTAATTTTATACGTATAGTTTTATTGAATGAGTAATGTTTTATATTCCTAAGTTTTCCTATTTCAACTCATAATACGGTGTGCCACGATCAATTTGTATTTAGATATGATAACATATAATTTTGATGGTAAAATTAGATGACATTTGAAATGTATCAGAGAGTCGATCATCAATTTGATATAAAATAAGAAATAATGGGTATTATGATTTATGAATAATGCTCTGTACAAATCCAAAGTCAGATTTAAAATGTGTAGAATTACTTACAAGTTTATAATTCATTAATCCTGTTAATAAATTGCTTTATAGCAGGCAGTTATAAGAAATTGTAAACTGCCATCAGCCATACTATGAAAAACAGAATATCAGATGAAAAGCCAGACGTTTATACATGAAACCAGTGACTTAAAAGATAATACTAATTAAGGAACTTATTGTAATTAAGCATGGAAGATGATCACATCCCCTTGATGAAATCTCAATTGCAAGATGTGGAAAATGGTCGAACCATTGCTCTTAATATTACTCTTGTTTCATACATACTAGAAATTTACTCTTGTTTTTCTGGAACACTTCAGAAAGAATTTCATCCAGATAAGATATCATGAACTTTAACTACAAGTCAAGATGCATTTGCAAAACCATCACATAAAAGAATACAAAAAAGATAGAATTCATAGACAACTCCACATTAACATGTTTATATAATAGAATGTTCAAACCATAATACATTGCAATGATCAAAACATGGCAAGACTACAAAAATTGCTTCACTCCAAATTTTGGTTTCACATAATCCATATAATTCTCCTGTGTCACGAAAGTGATGTTTTTCAGGCAGGTAAGTAGTCCAAATTTTATAATCACACCAACCCTTACATTGAAAACAAAATTCTGCACCACTTGGAAATAGCAATATCAAACAATTTCAACACTTCCATTAACAAAATATGTATATAAGCCTTTACAACGCAAGCATCAAAGAGAAAACAGAAAAGCTTCCAGTAATTAACGAATGAATTTAAACAAAAATCAAAACCCTTAACCTATACTCATTCATTTGCACTCTAATCATCGCTGAGCTCATCTTCAATGTCATGAGCACTCATTCTCATTGACGCTTGTTTTGCCCATTTCACGATCTTCTCTGCCTCTCGGCTAACCTTTTCTTCCTCCTTCATTGCCTTCTTTAGCATCTTTTGCTGCTCTTTCACTGAGAAAATACCCAAATCCGATAAGAACTCGTCGTTTTTACACATCACTGATCGATCTTCCTTGCTCTTTGGCCGGATATTTTTCTTAGGAGAACACCAAAAACAACCGCTCTTTCGAGGCGGGGAAGGCGAACCCCGTGATGAATTTGTACAACTCAATGGAGAAGAAAACGATTTCGATGAAAAGGGAGCTGAATCAGACCCTCGTTTGGATTTTTCCTTAAAATATTTCCAGTCCGAGAAAATCTCATTTTCCGTTAAAGAATCGTAACCAAGCTCAGATTTTTTCTCCAAACCCAGCTTCCCATCTCGGCTCTGCTCCTGCTCACACTCTCCCCGTGAGTCGTTCAACTCGCTCTTAGAACGCTGAAGAGACTTCTCCCCGGAGGATTTAGGTTTCGCATTAATTGCAGGAAAGGACTTAAGTTTGCGGAATCGTTGTTCCAGCTCAGAGGGAAGAACCGAGTTGGTGAAACCAGAACAGTTAATAGCAGAGACCTGTTCAAGAACAGAGAGATCCTTGGCTTGAGAAATAAGATCTTCCACAGCCGAGTCATCCGTATCCGATAAGTATCCAAAATCCGCCATTGAAGAGAAAAGAAGGAAAAAAAATTAAAGTGGCGAGTGAGTTATCATTAGAAAGTGTGTGTTTTGTTTTAGTTAATGGAACAAATTGAGGCTCTGGTTCTTTTTAGATGATCTTATTACAATCTTTAACGGCTAACTCATGATTTTGGCGTTTTTGTCTTCGTTTCCCTAATTTGTGGGACCCTAGAGTAATTCTTTTGGGACCCAGTTGACTCTTTTTTTGGGGATGAATCGGGAATATTCTGTTTATGAGTATGGGGATTGGGGGATGAGATTTCGCCGCTAATCTCTATTAGTATTAACGGATATTTAGTAGTTGATTAAGCACGAATTAGCTGCATCACATTAAACCAAACCGAAAGAAATTGATACCTACTCAAATACATCACGTAATATTATAGTAAAACATCTGTACAATGATATTTTATATAAAAATAAACTTTACATAATCATAAAAAATTATATTTCTAATTTAGAATAGTTATAAATAAGAATAAACTCACATTAAAATAAGTTATAATTTTTTTAATTCTCATATTAAAGAAAGTTATCTCCACATAGTAATAATTATGTGTATATTACAAAAAAAAAATATTATTTGTTACATTAAAGGTTTAAGATAAAATAAAATATTTATTTAAAATTATTTGAGAGAATGATTTATGTTTTATAATTGTTACCATATCTTTTAACTTACGGGTACATTACTTGCTAGTATGGACATATTCTTGTTAAAGCCAAAATATTTATAGCTTCTCAAGCATGTTTGGAGCTTCTTAGCACGAAACTTTTTATATTTCCATACTATCATCCTCATGATTATTTCCTTTCTTTTCTTGTGTAATTGTAACAATGATTTCTTCTTCAGTTAAAATATACATGACTTGTTGTTCATTTGAATGATTGAGGAAAACATTAATATCTATTCGATTAGTATAGTGTAGTGAAGTTGTCAAATCTGATCACTCAATTCTACAATGACTCTTTGATTATTCTCATCCACTTTATTTATAATTTGCAATTCATCGACATCAGGGGTTCTAATCTTATAATGCTTAAAACAATTAGCAATTGTATGTAGCTTCACATTAGTTTAACCATACAACAATTGTATTTACAATTTTATCAAGAACACTTATTTTTGCTGATTATAAGATACGATCTTCTATTCGTTTAAAAAGTGGGCAATTGAAACGCTGAATTGAAATAATAATACTATTAAAACATGAATTGAAATCCTAATACTAAAACATGAATTATAAAATAAAAAAAATTTGTAACTACACCTCTATTAAATTATAATCTCCTCATAGTAATAAAATTAATTAATCGTATCATTATGATTATAGAGAGGTTTTACTGTATAAATAAATGGATTGTTTAGTAAATCTTTATAGTTTCCATGAATTCTGAAAGCACCTATTTGACATTTGTATCCTAACCCCCATTCCATTTGATTTTGTTAAATTATAATGGTTTACTGTAAATAATTCATCATTAAAAAAATTTTGATTACTTACCAAAGCTATTTAAGGCGCATCATAATCATAAACATAGAATATTGAAATTGAGAAATATACCCATTTATTTGTATTGCCCTTCCCCTTGCTGATATAAAACGACCATAGAACAAATCATATGCAACTTTATGAGTTGTTAATTAATCCCAAAATGTTTCAACAGAAGCTCTATATCGACTACAAGAGATGACAGTTTCAGAGTAGAGTATGCATACAATATATTGTTCAAGTGGAGTAGGGAAAGGATATTGTATATATCACTCATCACCTCACTCTTTAACTACTCCCCTTCATATTTTCGATAAAAGAAACAAAAAATGCTTGACTCATACTAATTCCTATAATATTATACTATTCAAATTTCAAAATAGTATTGGCAATTTTTGCATGAAGACAATTACGTAGGTGACCACTTAATTAACCAAAGAAAACGAAGATATTTTAATATTATTACTAGTGCCCGATTTAGTAGAGTGGTTAGGGCAGTTGAAGTTATCTTTGATTTAGCTTTTAGATAAGAAGAATACTTTCTTTACATTACAACAAACACACTTCACTCTTTCTTTCCATTGAAACAAGAATAATGAAGGAGAGATCAAAACCATGGAGACCCTTCACTTCAAACTGTTGTTCAGCTGAAAACCAAACCATTTTCAGCAACTTCAGCCGATGTAAAACATCTAAATCAGATTTCTCTAAGGACATTGCGCCGTTGCCTTCGTTTCGAAGACTATCTTTCTCTGATTTGAGTCGTTCTTCATCTGCGCGAATCAATGAGGATATTGCGCAGTCGTTCGGACCTGATTTGTATGATTTTCAATTGAGTGAATTACGTTCCATCACTCAGAATTTTTCTACCAATTTTCTGCTTGGAGAAGGTGGATTCGGAACTGTGCATAAGGGCTATGTTGATGATAATTTGAGGCAGGGATTGAAGGCTCAGGCTGTTGCTGTTAAGCTTTTGGACATTGAAGGCCTCCAAGGACACCGAGAATGGCTTGTGAGATGTTACAATTTATTTATTTTTAGTTGTTATTTTGAGATATCATTTTTTGTAGGCTTAACAAATTAATGTTTTGCGTTGAGAAAAATAACAATCACATTTGGTATTTATTGGCAATATTTTGAAGGAAAAAAAAAATCTAATTAGAAAGGATTTAAAAAATTAGATAAAGATTTATTAAATGCCTTTTTCTAACTTTGTATATAATTAGTCAAACCTTCTAGGAGGAGAATAAACTTTACCTTTTTTTTGAAAAACAAATCACTTTGACAAATAATAATCTGACTATGAATATAAATATAATGTATTTCAATTATTTACTTTAATTAATTTTAAATCAATTTACAGATAGAAGAAATATTATTCTTTCTATTAACTAAACCCATAAGAACTAATTTTTTATTATTATTTTGCAGGCAGAAGTAATATTTCTGGGACAGCTGAGGCATGGACATTTGGTTAGATTGATTGGGTATTGTTGCGAGGAAGAAGAACGTCTCCTTGTATATGAGTTCATGCCTCGGGGGAGCTTAGAAAATCACTTATTCAAAAGTGAGTTTCTTCATTAGTTTAGTTTCCATTAACATCAATGAATAAATAAAAGTGTAGCCATAATTGAGTTAGAAATTTGCTTTTTGAAGGGATCTCAATATCATTGCCATGGGGAACAAGATTGAAGATAGCAATCGGAGCGGCCAAAGGGCTAGCCTTCTTGCATGGGGCTGAGCAACCTGTCATATACAGAGACTTCAAAACTTCCAATATTTTACTTGATTCTGTGTGTTATATTAACTCTCTTTTATCTATTAATTCACATAATAAGGCTAGCTTCAAAATTATGATTTTTTTTTTTGTTAATTACTACAGGATTTCACAGCTAAATTATCAGATTTTGGACTTGCCAAGATGGGTCCTGAGGGATCCAATACTCATGTCACCACTCGAGTCATGGGTACCTATGGATATGCTGCCCCTGAATATATCTCTACAGGTAACACATCCAACCAATAATAATATCACAAAATAAAGGCTTTTTATAAAATCTAAAACCCAATTTTCGTTGACAAATGTTAATTTAGGCATTCAATCCCTAAATATTTACATGCATGAGTTAACTCAAGTCAAAGACTTTATGTTTAGATTGTAGACCTGTATAGGAGAATTTTAGATGCTATCATTAACCCAATGATTCTTCTAATTAGTTTGTCAGGAATGAAAACACAAAACAATCCAATGTTTTCTAATGGATTATACTATAATTAACTGTTTTCAGGTCATTTAACTACAAAGAGCGACGTTTATAGTTTCGGAGTAGTACTACTAGAACTACTAACAGGGAGAAGATCAATGGACAAAACAAGGACAAAGAGTGAGCAAAACCTAGTTGATTGGGCAAAACCGTACTTAAAAAGCAGCAGGAGATTGCGCTATATAATAGACCCAAGACTTGCCGGCCAATATTCAGTGAAAGGAGCCAAGGAGATGGGCATTTTGGCCCTGCAATGCATAAGTTTGAACCCCAAAGACAGGCCGAGAATGCCAGCCGTCGTTGAAACTCTTGAAAGCCTGCAAAATTTCAAGGACATGGCGATTTCTTGTGGGCAATGGCCAGTTTCATCACCAAAATCAACTAAAAATGGAGTTTCTCCTAGAAATGGGAATTATAGAAAATCCTATCCTGGAACTCCAATCAGAAAATCATGATTATGAAGGTAGTTAAATTAAGATTTATAATCAATAGTGTGTATATTAAGGTAAAGTTTAATTACTTGTGTATATGTACATATCTATGTGTGTAAAAATGTGAATGATATATATATATATATATATAAAGTTACCACTGAATAAAGTGGTGACAAGATCAGTAACAATGATCTTCCATTTTTATTTCGTTTTGGTGATTTGTTTTGTTTTAAACTCAGCAATTTAGCAAGAATTATAAAAAGAAAAATGTTAGGCGTTCTCTCGGGCTTCTCCTAGCCCACCACTAATTTCAGGCCCGGCTAGTTATTTAAACCTTCAATGACCTTTGGGCTTGTCTCTTTGAAGGTTCTAAATTCAAAACGGCACAATAAATAAACAGACTATAGAATACGTATATATTACTCTTTTCTAAATATTATTATTAGAGTTGCATTTGGGAACTTTGTAAAAGAAATCTAGAATTTGGATGTTAATTTAAAATTCAATTTTCATTACAATAAAAAATAAATATATAGTAAGAGTCAAATTAAATGTAACATGTGTAATTAATTAAGTTCCTGGAAAGAGTTGATGAATATTAATATTTTATTTAAGAAACCAGGAAGCACATGATCCATACTATATAAAATTGTGCCTCTTTTCCAATACCAAGAAGTAAATATTCCAAAAAAAAATATTTAATTGGATCAACGAATCATTCGTAAAATAAGTAATTAAATTCATAAAATCAAAAAATTTAAGCATATATAATTTAAGACGTACCTTGAAATTGAACCCTCTTCATGTGAGCCTAAATGCATCGGCATAACTCAGGTCAAGTGTACTGAAAATTTAGATTTATAAAAATGGTGGTGGAAGACAGAAAGAGCAAGCAAAGTTGCTAAAATGGTTTTATAATTTAGTTGAGTCTATTTCTAATAAAGTCCCAAATCAAATTCGTGCAACACAAATCACTCAATATGTGGCTTGATAAAATGAGATGGGGGTTTGTATTTGCTTAGTCAATATATGCGTCTTCTTCAAATAAACCAAAATTGTTTGACTTTAATTACTCTCGATTGGATCTCAACAAACAATGGGCTGCCTAACCTACCCGGCCAAGTTGACTTTCTTGCTTCCACTTGAGGTATTTAGACATTTTCAAGAAGTTTTAACCTTTCAGGAATAGGCACTAAGACAAAGCATAGAAACAGTCTAACGATCAATCAGAATTTTTGGATGTATTATTCAAGAAGTTTTAAATTCGATCCACTTGCATTGCTAATAGAGGTGGCCACTGAAAAGATTTATCTGACTATTAACTTTAGAGTTCCGAAAGATTAGTTGAGGTGAGTGCAAGATGGCTTGGACACCCATTCCAAAAAAAATTAAGGATAGAAACTAAACATGTGTAACAAAGTAACTGCAATGTCAAATTAATGGAAAGTTTAGACTGAAAGATTGTTGGTTCATGTGACAAGAAATACTCTAAGGGGACATTTATATCATATAATATTTTATTATAAGGGGATAATATATTAACGGAATAAAAGATCACCTTGAAGATTACTAGGGATGTTTAGAAAATGCGTTTGATTGGTTCGAATAAATTGGTGAATAATATATTTGGTTGGGAGGATAAATGGGTAGATATATTATATAGATTAATAAATTGCCTTTATTTTTAAATATTAATATAACAGTATTTTTTATTATCATTTTTTGAATAATTTTTTTAACCCCTTACTATTCAAATTTAGTAAAAACACCCTAGCAACCAAAAAGCATTTTAAAGCCTGACCATTTCACAAATCTGGCTAACATATCTCTTTAGCCAAGCACCTAAACGCTGGTCATTTCACGACCAAAGACCTGATCGTTTCATAGCCATAGATTTGGTCATAAAACAACCAGATCTAGCCTTTTCCGACCATGGATCTGTGATCCATTGTTGGAAAAAAGCCTCACCGGCACACGGCCAGCCATATACGGTCGGTTATATGCCACTATGACGACTTTTGGCAGCCTCTGACGACGGTCAACGATGGTTGGCGGTGGTGGCCAGTTTTGGGTATAATGACATTTTTGTAAATAATGACAAAACAAGGGCAATGTTGTTCGAAAAATTTAAAAAGTTAGGACAAAAGTGTCTACATGAGTGAATGGAGTGTTTTGTAAATGTTAACAAATATAAGGTTAATTTGGACCAAATACTTAACTATTTAAGGGCAATATGGGAAACAAAATTGTATTACCAAGGATAAGTTTTAATAACAACCCAATCCCCCCTCCCCCTTCTCGGTATTAATATTCTCGACAATATACCCCCCAAAAGGTACTTTTTATCATAAAATATTCTGAAAATAAATTTTTACAAACCAACCAAATATTGTTATCTGTTCAATTTAAAAAGTATTATCCCAGTTATCTAATATTAAACACAACGTAAATGGCCCTAAATTATATATTATATATTTGATTGCCCCATAAAGCAAGGTGGGTGATGACAGGATATCACAAAACTGAAGAATCACCATTCTCTTTTTCCAAAAACAGGCGTGAGAAACGCACTTAAAGAAAACTCCAAACCCAACACACACTTGCTTAAGTGCGTGTCTACCCTCCCACTTTCCCCAACCTTTCATCACACCATTTACTAAATTTATGTCCAATTTGAACCCACTTTCTTCAACCCAAAACACAACAAAAACAATTGGAATTTCTCCAAATTTTCACATCCCAAAACAATGGCCCTCATCAACAACAAACCCAAGAAGCAAAACTCCTTTTACCAGTCCAATCTCTGCACCACTCTTTTCTTCGTTGTTCTCTTCACCATTCCAGCTCTTTTTCTCCTTCACACACCCACCACAACGATTTGTACAAGCATTGTTTCCAACCATGTTATGAAGCCCTGGTCTGGTGATCTTCGCAATGCAGTGTTTGCATGGAATCGTCTTGGGTTTGTGTGGAATGATCCGCCGCGGAAGACTCTGAAAATTGCTGTTTTTTCGAGGAAATGGCCGATTGGGACGACCCCGGGTGGCATGGAGCGGCATGCGCACACTCTGCACACGGCTCTGGCTCGTCGAGGCCATCAAGTTCATATTTTTACATCTCCCGTGCAGAGCAGCGGCCCCTCTACGGCTCAAGAGATAGATAATTTTGCGCCAAGGATTCACTGCCATGAAGGGGAGCCCGGAAAGTGGAGATACAACAAAGCGTGGGAACAGTTTGATGAAGAGAACCAACGGGAAACCTTCGATGTGGTTCACTCTGAGAGCGTGGCGCTTCCTCATTGGCTTGCGCGAAACATTCCGAATCTCGCGGTTTCATGGCATGGAATCGCGCTTGAAAGCTTGCAGTCTGATATTTTCCAGGACTTGACGCGCAAACTTCAAGAGCCCATTTCGCCGGCTTTCAACAGAAGCTTACAGGGAGTCGTTCCGAAACTACTAAAAGAGATTCGGTTCTTCAAAAACTACGCCCACCACGTTGCGATAAGTGATAGTTGTGGGGAGATGTTGCGAGATGTTTACCAAATCCCGAGTGAAAGAGTCCATGTAATTCTCAATGGCGTCAATGAAAACGACTTTGTAAAGGACCTTTCTTTAGGCCAAAATTTCAGATCAAGAATCGGCGTCCCGGAAAATGCAAGTTTAGTTCTCGGAGTGGCCGGAAGATTGGTGAAAGATAAAGGCCATCCTTTACTTTACGAGGCCTTCTCCAAGCTCATGATCGATCACCCAGATGTGTACTTAATCGTTGCAGGGTCAGGGCCATGGGAGAATCGTTACAGAGATTTTGGCTCTAGAGTTGTGGTTTTGGGTTCAATGAGTCCCGCTGAATTGAGGGCATTTTACAATGCCATTGATATCTTTGTGAATCCGACGCTGCGGCCACAAGGGCTCGATCTCACGCTCATGGAAGCAATGATGAGTGGTAAACCAGTAATGGCTTCAAGGTTTCCGAGTATTAAAGGTACAATTGTTGTTGACGATGAATTTGGTTTCATGTTTGCGCCGAATGTGGACTCACTGTTGAAGGCATTGGAGGCTGCGGTGAGAGAAGGTCCAAAGAGGCTAGCGCAAAGAGGGGAGGCTTGTAAAAAATATGCAGCCTCCATGTTCACTGCAAGCAAGATGGCATTAGCATATGAAAGATTATTTCTTTGTATCAAGAATGAAACTTTTTGTAACTATACAGATTAGGTTATAATTCTTTTTAGTTCTATTTCTTTTCTTTGAGACAATATTATTATGTTGAGGAATTGTACTTAAAAAGGTAAACAAATTATATAAATTATGATGCGATAGGTAGTCCAAGTCACATACATTTCAATGTCCTCCTTTTATGGGTTAGGCCCAAAATAAATGTTGCTTCCAGAACCATTAGCCGTTCATATAAAAAAAAGGAAAAGCAGGTTTAACTTGCGATGTAAGGATACCTCCAGGTACAAGGGCTTACTTGAGTTTCGCCACAAGAATTATGACTTACTGGAATGCTTCGGAATAAATTATAATAGCGTCGGAAAACATCCATTATCACGCCCAAAATTTAATCCTCAATCAATTGTTTTTGGCTCCTTGATGGTAAAAAATGAGAGAATGATTTAATATGGTCTTTTAAGTTAAAAATTATTAGATGTCATACATATACAAGGATAAGAAGTGTATGTACGTCGATAACAGTAACAGGACAATAAATACTGCATTATTGAATTTGTTTAGTGCTGCCTCTGAATACAAAAATGTTTCTTTTGTTTGTTTAATTTAGAGGTTGAATACAAGTAAACATTTAATGAATCTATACATTTGATGCCTAGTTACCCCTAATGAATTAACATGATTGATCTCTCTTAATACAATTGCGTTAAACGATTTCTTTCAAAACGATAATAAGCAGGCCTAGTCCTCAAAAACAAAAGCACACTGGAGACTAAACCCAAAAGCGATAGGAATCCCCACCACACAAATGTTAAGAAATAACACTGTCTCCCCATGCACACCACCGAGTCTGTGATGATATCTTTAAGGCCAGACCTCACATTTGCATCATAAACTATTGCAGCAAGAACTCCATAAACAAGTGAACCTATTGGGATGTTGGTGATCACAATGTTGTGATTGACTCCTACGCTATTCGGTCCAAACAATTCGGATGTTATTGATACTGCAGCCGCAAATATGAACCCCGAGCTCAATCCAATTAGTGCTGTACCTGCATGTAATGCCATTGACTGCCCCGATACGGCCAGCAAACAGAAGGCTACCGGCGTTGGCAATAGCGCAATCGCCAGCCATCCCGTTCTCGCAAAATACATCTTCCTGCATACACAAAAGTCTGGTTAATGTTTCACATTAGTTTTGATTATTAGCTTTTGGGTCAAATGATAACTTACGTGCGAATGTAGTCAGGTGCAGCGGAAAGCAGGCGGCCGAAGAAGGAGAAGGAAGAATAGAGAGTGACAAGAGTGGTCGTGCTGGAGCTTTGTCCTAGGGATTGTGCAATTTGTCCGAGATTGTTGCTGTAAACAAGGCCAATGGTTCCCCCACAAAAATATGCAATGTAATATAGCCAAAAATCCAGTCTGCGCACAAGCAACTTCGCCGAGTGCTCCTCTCCAAGCATTGCTAACTGATCTTTCCCCATCACTGTCTCACAGCATCCATCACTCTCAGTGCTCTTCTTTCTAGTAATACTATAAGTAGAAACATCATTTTCGCTTAAAAGATGACTATTTCCATAGCTACCTGCCTCACGGGTAAGGAGCTCTTTATGCAGCTCGAGGTCATCAACATCAACAAGAAGGAAACCAGAGCCTTCAAGGCGAAAACTCGAATGGATTGTACGACGAAACCAGTCTCGAGCATATATAATACCGGGAATAAACAATGGAAAAGCAAGAAGAAAAAGGGCTCCACCAAAGAGGAGACGAGCTGTTGTTGCACCTGATGAGTTTGAGCCAAAGAGAAGGAGATAGACTCCAGTGAGAACAGCTATGAAATTCAATATGAGAAAAATGAGAGAGTCGCGTTTAACTCCATCAGGGGGAAGAGGGTCTAAAGAAGGCTGGCGAAGAATTGGAATGAGGGCTGCAACAGAAGCGAGGAGAGGAACAAGAGCATTTAAAAGGAGATATAATGAACTTGATGAAGAGTTGAATGCATTGCCAGCAAGGGCATATAGGGCTGCACTCACTCCATTGAAGCTGATTGTAAGTGAGAGAGCCAGAGCTCGATTTGCAGGGAAATTTCTGATGCAAAGAACGAAACACACAGTGTTGAACCAGCAGATGCTGCATCCAGCTAACAAACATAGAAGAAAAACCTGCAAAAAGTTTCATTGTAAGGCTACAAAACATTTTACAAAGAAAAAGATCAGTTTACTTATCTAAAATAATGAATTTCCTATTCATTTCGTAGAAGATATATAAGAAAAAATTAAATAGAATCACAAAGGAAAACATGCTTTACATTGTAAAAATAAGTTAACCAAGATTCATTTTTGAGTTTATAAATTTCACAAGTTCGAAAATAATTAATGAAAATGTTGTAATTAACTAATAAATCTAGTTCTACTTTAGATCAAATCTCACTCAACATGAGGTAGGTGTTAGCTAATTGAATTATGCATAAGGTTTTAAGATTGAACCGGCTCATATAGAGACACTATCCACGAATTTGATTTAAATTTATAAGTTTAAAAAGAAAATTATAAAGCTTGACATAAACAATTAATAATTTTTTGTTTCAAGTCTCAGATTAGACTGCAATATAACAAACGCCGATATAATTAATTTTAGGGCATTTTAGACTTGTAGTTACTAACTTACTATGCTAAAATTATAAAGGGGTAACTTAGTATTAATAACAAACCTTGGGGGAATTCTGTGAAACATTTAAAAGTATAAGGGGGTTTATTGATATTTCAGTTTTGTGACCTCAACAGAATTTTCGATTTTGTCCTATGCAAATAAAAAGAAACAAAAAATGCTTGACCATACTAATTCCTATAAAAATTTTACTATTCAAAATAGTATTGGCCATATTGCATGAAGACAATTACGTAGGTGACACTTAATTAACCAAAGATATTTTAATTATTACTAGTGCCCGATTTAGTAGAGTGGTTAGGGCAGTTGAAGTTATCTCTTGATTAGCTTTTAGATAGAAGAATACTTTCTTTACATTCAACAAATTCCATTGAAACAAGAATAATGAAGAGAGATCAAAACCATGGAGACCTTACTTCAAACTGTTGTTCAGCTGAAAACCAAACATTTTCAGCAACTTCAGCGATGTAAAACATCTAAATCAGATTTCTCTAAGGACATTGCGCCGTTGCCTTCGTTTCGAAGACTATCTTTCTCTGATTTGAGTCGTTCTTCATCTGCGCGAATCAATGAGGATATTGCGCGTCGTTCGGACCTGATTTGTATGATTTCAATTGAGTGAATTACGTTCCATCACTCAAATTTTTCTACCAATTTTCTGCTTGGAGAAGGTGGATTCGGAACTGGCATAAGGGTTATGTTGATGTAATTTGAGGCAGGGATTGAAGGCTCAGGCTGTTGCTGTTAGCTTTTGGACATTGAAGGCCTCCAAGGACACCGAGAATGGCTTGAGATGTTACAATTATTTATTTTTAGTTGTTTTTTTGTAGGCTTAACAAATTAATGTTTTGCGTTGAGAAAAACAATACATTTGGTATTTATGGCAAATTTTGAAGAAAAAAAAAAATCTAATTAGAAAGGATTTAAAAAATTAGATAAAGATTATTAAATGCCTTTTCTAACTTGTATCTAATTAGTCAAACCTTCTAGGAGGAGAATAACTTACCTTTTTTTTTTTTTTTGAAAACAAATCACATCTTGACAAATAATAATCTGACTATGAATATAAATATAATGTATTTCAATTATTACTTTAATTAATTTAAATCAATTTACAGAAGAAGAAAATTATTCCAAAGAACTAATTTTTATTATTATTTTGCAGGCAGAAGTAATATTTCTGGGACAGCTGAGGCATGGACATTTGGTTAGATTGATGGGTATTGTTGCGAGGAAGAAGAACGTCTCCTTGTATATGAGTTCATGCCTCGGGGGAGCTTAGAAAATCACTATTCAAAGTAGTTATTAGTTTAGTTTCCATTAACATCAATGAATAAATAAATTAGCCATAAGAGTTAGAAATTTGCTTTTTGAAGGGATCTCAATATCATTGCCATGGGGAACAAGATTGAAGATAGCAATCGGAGCGGCCAAAGGGCTAGCCTTCTTGATGGGTGAGCAACCTGTCATATCAGAGACTCAAAACTTCCAATATTTTACTTGATTCTGTGTGTTATATTAACTCTCTTTTATCTATTAATTCACATAATAAGGCTAGCTTCAAAATTATGATTTTTTTTTTGGTTAATTACTACAGGATTTCACAGCTAAATTATCAGATTTTGGACTTGCCAAGATGGGTCCTGAGGGATCCAATACTCATGTCACCACTCGAGTCATGGGTAACTATGGATATGCTGCCCCTGAATTATCTCTACAGGTAACACATCCAACCAATAATAATATCACAAATAAAGGCTTTTTATAAAATCTAAAACCCAATTTTCGTTGACAAATGTTAATTTAGGCATTCAATCCCTAAATATTTACAGCTGAGTTAACTCAAGTCCAGATTTATGTTTAGATTGTAGACCTGTATAGGAGAATTTTAGATGATATCATTAACCCAATGATTCTTATAATATTGTCAGGAATGAAAACACAAAACAATACATGTTTTCTAATGGATTATACATAATTAACTGTTTCAGGTCATTAACTACAAAGGGCGACGTTTATAGTTTCGGGTAGTACTACTAGAACTACTACAGGGAGAAGATCAATGGACAAAACAAGGACAAAGAGTGAGCAAAACCTAGTTGATGGGCAAACATACTTAAAAAGCAGCAGGAGATTGCGCTATATAATGACCCAAAACTTGCCGGCCAATATTCAGTGAAAGGAGCAAGGAGATGGGCATTTTGGCCTGCATGCATAAGTTTGAACCCCAAAGATAGGCCGAGAATGCCACCGTGTTGAAACTCTTGAAAGCCTGCAAAATTTCAAGGACATGGCGTTTCTTGTGGGCAATGGCCAGTTCATCACCAAAATCAACTAAAAATGGAGTTTCTCTAGAAATGGGAATTATAGAAAATCCTATCCTGGAACTCCATCAGAA